AGAGCTTTTTATCCTGACCTTGCCATCTTCGAGGCCTTCTAAGTCACGGCATCTCACGGCAAACGAAAGCAGACACAGACGGGCAGAGACAGACACGCAGAGATATTGAGAGAAATTGCATTTGTCCCCTTGTGCTTACTCAGCCTACTTTGCCTGCAAGAGTCGCGCTGCCTTTATCGCATTCGAAGGCTCCACAGATGCCGCAGAAATTGGCGCATCTCTCCAGCGAACTTTGTCGGACAGAGGCATTTGGAATGACGCGGTTGTTTGGATGAGCCCTGGATCGCGCATCAACGACTTCACATTTCCAGCTTTCCCATTTTGTCAGTTTTGGTCCGGTGACTTGAACATGTTTCTTCAACTTGCAAAAACGCTGCAAAGAACATCATTGGCGAAGACACTTCTGAACGGTGAAAATGGGAGCCGCCGGCGTTCAAAGAGCTCGAAGAATCAGCGCGCAACTCTTCATCGCTTCGCCACACCACATACTACTTCACAACATATCACGACACGACATGTCACCACATTGCACATCGTGACAGAGCGAATCACCTGCACAGAAATCATCACATGCCATGACGCTCCACACAACTCCCAACATGCTATTTCTGGTAATTGTCACGCGAAGAATACCTGGTGCAGAACGTGAAGAACTGCAGGGATTTCTTTGGGAAGTATGGATAAAGAGGTTGTAAATCTTCTGGAAATCAGCCTTCCATTCAACATCAGACAACCGCCCTTTTATCTCTATCATTGAGCCGTCAACTGCGTTGCTACTCAGGTTCTCAGGGTAAGCTCACCACGTGCCCGTGGGGCGGCGTAGGGCTCGCTTGCTTGGTTTGTTGCGCTGCCGGCCCGCTGCCTCGGTGAGCTTTGCCTGGGCGCGGTCCGTTCGGACAGGGAAGGGCGGTCGCTCAAGGGCAACGCCCACCAGCGTCTCGCCACTCTTTCGCGCGCACGAAGCCCACAATCTCACAATTATGCCTTTCCCGGCCCGCCCCACTGCAAGAGAATCGCGTGCGAGGTCTACGGGCGTAGCAGCAGAAAGTCTAGAGATCTGGACGCATTGGAGTCCAGAGAGGTGAGTGAGTGAGTGAGTGAGTGAGTGAGTGAGTGAGTGAGTTGGAGTGAGTGAGTTGGAGTGAGTGTGAGTGAGTGAGTTGGAGTGAGTGAGTTGGAGTGAGTTGGAGTGAGTGAGTGAGTTGGAGTGAGTGAGTTGGCGTGAGTGAGTTGGAGTGAGTGGGTTGGAGTGAGTGAGTTGGAGTGAGTGAGTTGGAGTGAGTGAGTTGGAGTGAGTGAG